TAAAAGTCCATTAATTACTTTGTCCTACTTTGGATTCATGAAAGTTAAAGAAATAAAATAATAAAAACATTTTAAAGGAAGAATGAACTTCTTTTGGACGCAAAGATGATAGCAGTAGAACTCATTCAATGTTTGGTCATCTGAAAATCGTTTTTAAGAAACATTGAAAAAATGAACATACCTGTAAATGAAATGTAATGCCTATTATGATATTAATGGAGTGCAAAACTTACTGGCATTAAGATGTATAAAAAAGCATTTGTTCCTTTGGTTTTATTTTACCTCAGGTTTGTTATATTGGTTTAAAGTATCGAATAGGAATTCTGTCCTTGTGTACTAGGTTCAATACACTTTTCTTTATAGATTGTTTTGTTTTATATCCTTGAAAAATTCGACTTTAAAACGTTACTTAATAAAGCCAAGATGTGTCAAATATCGACAGTATAAGGCTTAGCAGCATATACATCTATATTGATATATTTAAGGCCCTTGTTGCAACTTCTGTAAAGAAACACGATTCTTTGTTTACCCGAGATTAATCATGTTTCACAAGGGTCAACAAGTAAAACATCATTAATCGATGGGAGAGAATCGTACTTCCCTACCACAAAGGATACAAAATTGATTACTCCGAAATAAAACAGAATGTATTAGCGAAGATGGTCAAGTAAACACGCCATATTGTTGTCGTCTGCTTCAGCAGTCACTCGGAATTCAGGTGTTATGGTTTTTGCAAATTTTCTTAGGAGGCTCCGAGTATGTGAACTGTGAATGAAGAAACTCGAGCGCGTGGAATCGACACGATGTTTTATTTTTGAACACGTGATTCTTACCATCTAATCAGACACGCTGTTAAATTTGTACATTGTATATAAAAAAAGTAGTCCGAATTATTCTGACGTTTTATCGACTTTTTTTATATCGGTCTGTCGTCGATTAACGTCAGAACTCCGGATCCGGCCCCCTATAATATGCGGGAAATAAGCGACCCGCACCGCATGAGTCGCTCTTCAAACTGATATTCTAGAAACAAATCGTCACTTTCGCACACATGTCGCACATGGATCGATTCCATAATTGAGCACGAGAACGATTTTATAAGTACGGGCCCAGATTCGAACACTGTACCTCAATTGATCTACTGTCGCCCTAACCGAAGGAGCTATAAATGTATCTAGATAACGGAAGTGTCCTGAATGGTTTGTTTGTTTGTTTGAGTGGTGTTAGCTTATCCAGCAGACGAGTGTCCTGGGCCAGTTCTGCTTCTGTTACATGTATATCGAAGACGAAATTAAGGGGAGGATACTGTGTATATAAAAAAGTGCAGTGGTAAATTAGTAAAAGAAAATCAAAACAACATATCTTAATGTCTGCAGAAATGGCTGCTTCCTTCCGCATTCCATTGGATGCTTGGAAGTATCGAAGGAGGACTGCCATATTTCATGTTTCAGTGGGCCCGAACCAATAAACCCGACAGAAATTAAGCCTAGGTTAAGGCCATCATGAAATATGGTTTCCTTTTCTGGAGATGGAATGAAATTAGAAAATGACCGAAACGCTATATTGTTGAGGTGAGTATGAAAAATAAAATGACTGAACACTGGTTTTCAAATGTTCACATCTTTTGGTACATACACAGACATTAAAACCAGGAATTTGTTCAGTTAAAAGGAAACCACAAGGCAGCAAAATAGGCCATGTTAGGACATTGCTTTGATAAAAAGTATAGAGTATTTTTTCACATTATTGATATTACCTTAATATTCCATTTACATTCAGAATTTTGGCGAATACAGCTCTTTTAGTCAATAAAAACAGGATGGAAGATCGAAGAGCGACGTGAAAGCCTCGGTAAACATGCTATGTATGATGCAGTTTCCAATCAATCCTGTAATGTTTCACTTAACAAACTTATGATTTTTTAAAAATATATTTGCAGCTTTATATTTCCTTAACGGCATCTAACATAATGAAAAATAGAAAAGGCCTAAAACGTATGCATACAACACTGACAAAATAAGCAAAAAGACTGGAGTACATTGACGTTTTGAACTTCTGTACTTCCTTGCTATTAGGCCAAATCAAAATAGTCTTGTGTTTCCGCTAACCCTACCTACCCTAGATTTTTGTACCTAACCTAAGGTTTGTTCATAGGCATTAAGTGATATGCTCTGTTAAAGTCAGAACTCCTGCTATATATAAGCATAGTAAAATAAAAAAAAGCCTATCTACCTGGGAGCCTGAAGTTGGTTCCTATAGTTCCTAGTTCCGTTTAAGATAAACGGAACTAGGACCCAGACCCTTGAACCAACTTCAGGCTCCCTACCTACCTACCCTATTTTTTATTTTTATTTTATCACTTATTACAACCCGGCTATATGCCTCAAAATGATTGAAATCGTGAGCGGAATTCCTGTATGTGTCAATGCGATGTTCCTGAGCAAAACTTTAGTAAAAAAAACCACTTTAGAAGGTGATACAGCTGCCGAAATTTGGGGTTAAAATGCGTCGAAAAATGTAAACATGAAATTTTGGTCATTTTGAACAATAGTGACCCAGTTTTACGGGGTGGGTTACATATGTACATAAGTCATATAATTGAATGGAATACAAATAGTCATAACCATCTTCATTTGTTCTACAATTACCTGTACACAAGACCATATTCTGCACTTTTTTCGATTTCACCCCTTCTTCTTTTTAATAAGAGACTGAGTGTTCCATAAAAGAAACCATATTTCCTAAATATCTAAACGTAGACTTTATTTCTGGTGTTTTTTTTGTAAGCCTCGTTGCCAAACAAAGCGTAAATAAAAGTGGACATCCCTCGTTTGACCAGTCTCATATACACTGTAAAGAGGTCGCGGAAGGAGTGGCCACGTGTGTCGGCATTCTTTCTGCTGTTATTTTCGGTCTTTTGGAGAGTATCTTTTTGGACAATTATACCGAAAACCCATGTATATTTATCTTGACTATACATTTTTATATCTTTGATTCAAATTAATGATTAAGATTTTTTTTTGTAATATTTTCCTCAAAAGCATCTTTCTCGGCTATTGTAATCTCGTCTTACTGAGGCCTGCATTAGACCAGTATCCTATTGACTCCCACAAATTCGTTTTTTAGTTTTGATTTAAAAGGACATGCTTATTCAACTTCTGAATTTACTAAACGTCAAGAGTCAAATAAAACCCCTGCTAACGTTCAATTAAAAGAAGTAAAGTAAGATGTGCTAATAGCCTTTTTGTGAGTTCCTCTCTCAAAAATAAACTCGGCATTATTTTCGCGCATAGAATAGTCTTAAGGATGCCCGTCCATGTACCGCTGCCTAGAGCAGAAGGTATTTAGGCATGGCTGTATATAGTTTTGCGGAACCTTTATGAAATATAATAAGGACGAAAAAACGAATTGACTCGAAAAAGATTTGAACCTTTCACCTCCAAACATTATACATGGTATAATGTAGCGTAATTAATCAACTTAGCTACACAGAACCATTGTTTTGCATATTTACAGTCATAAAATATTATCTTTTTTTTGTTCTTAGACAATTCAATCACCCACACCAGTGTAAAAAAGAAATCAAAATATTTGTTTATGTGGGAAGCTGTATGAAAAAAGATTAGGCTACCCTCTACGTCTATATGAACTTTATGGACATGTTCAGAATTGTGACGTCACACTATGATGACAACAATTAAATGACATCACATTTACCTTGTAAATGCCAGCCTATTATTATAATTATTTATCATTATAAGTTTATAAGTTATAAGTTATGCAAATAAAAAAAGATCTGTGCTGTATTATTTTTCGTACATGCCTCCCTTTAATTTAGTGTTGATTTACAATACTTGGAGATATCTGTAACGCGATGCACACGTTCAAAGTTTTTCACAGTCATAGAGCCACTTTTTTCATATTCATTAGGTTGACGTCAGTCACGTGCCGAAACATGTCGTGTTGATTGGCTGGTTATTTTAGGGAAAACATTGCTGCGCTTCCAGCCAGTCACACCACGAGTTTTTACACGAGGCTGACGTCAACTTCAAAAATATGCTAAAAGTGGCTCTATGACTGCAAAAAACTATGAAACTCGGAAATGGCGTGTTTTTTTGGATTAAATGGAGATCATATCCGTGAAAGGAGAATACATTTTTTGTGCATATAGGTTTTTAGAATACAAATAATTCCATTTTACAGCGATAATAAGCTTTTTTTCGTACATTGATTAGAAAAGTGATTTGGTGTAAGAAAATGTTAGTTTGGGTCGGTTTTTCGACATCGAGAGCTTTCCACCCTTTTCCTATAATATCATCACTGGGGTGGCATTTTTATCAATAGTTGATCTAAACCCCCAAAACGTGTCAAATTACTCTGAACACCTTATTTTAGGTCCAAATATAGCTGTAATAAATTCTCAGGTCCCTGTGGTACATGTAATATCAACGTTAACCTTGGTCACTCTTTTTGGAGAGGTAGCTTTATTTACATATATTACTTCATTTAAAACAAATTCATTCAAGAAAATGTGCTAACCTGTGCGCGTGTAATTATCAGTACATATAAACGTCACGTGTTTTCTTGAAAAAAGTGACTTAATTGTGAAATTGACGGATATAAGTTAGATGGCCGATCCCAGCGATCTGACAAACAACCAAACAAGGGCACAAACAGACGACTTTCAAGAAAAAACGGTATATGAGCAAATATTTAAAGGGAAAAAGAAAATATGAGAAAAAAATTACAGCATCAACACACAAAAACAAAATTGGAATTTCAAAGTCATTACGAAAGGACGACCGGAATCGAAACCAGAATAAAGAAATCGGAGAGGAAGTCAGGTACTCTTTAACCTGAGTTGTATGTAGGGGTTTTTAATTGAAAATTTCCCTGAAATTCAAAAAACAAAACAAAAACACACACATAATACAAATACAAAATCTATCATTCTTGGTGATTAATTGTTTACTGTATATAGTTTCACAGTTAAAACTTACCTCTTGTTTCCCCGATATTAACCAGTAGAAAAACATTTCGTACCACGAATCCACGGAACAGGTAATCTGAAATCCAGCCCTTCATTGATGTATCGGGTATAGCCACGCCACAGCTCACAGGTACAACCGCTTCTGCCTGGCTCTTATACTGGTAATAAGGGCTCGTCACATAGAAATCAATTCGATGTATTGTATAACAAATGTGTGTATGGAAGCCTAAACCCGATTATCTTGTTCTAAGGGGGTTCGTTAACGTTGTTCTAGTCATTATCAAAGCTGATATGGCCGTTACATTCTCTCGAATGATTCTGGCATTTGTTGTTCTTGGGGGTGTTTCTATCAACCCGGATTTTGAATTGGACAGTGCTACACATGAAATGAAGGAACATTTAAATACCGTAGATCGTTTTCACTTCTGCCGATTTGTTTTTCTTCTTTGATTTTAGGGGGGTTACATGTAGTATAAATAGTTTTATTAAGTAAGGCTACACAACTATATCAAAACTACACCAAAGAAAAAGGATGGGAAATCAAATTGAAAACTTAAAATAATCCTCTTCCAAAAAGAACTCGTGTTTTCTTCCTTTTTGTTTCGTCGTCTCCTCGCTTTTCTCTGACGACAGAAGGTGGTGTTCCGTTACGTACAGTACTTTAAATACTCTGTTAGTTAGGAAGTTTGAAATAAAATATATTAAATTAACTCTAGTGTTTCATGCAGGCCTTTCATGATTCCGTAAGAAGGCAGCAGCTAATTGTTCCTTATGTCTCACGTACCTCTAATAACTGCTTTTCACGTTGTGCCGTTAAGCTTTAACGAACTAGAATAGATTATCAGTTTTGAGAATTTTACAAATACAGCTGATTAGTGCTATTGACTGGTGGCTAGAATAATAATAATATACAATAATATACAACATTTGATATAGCGCCCTATCTAATTAGAAGAAGTCACTCTAAAGCAATTTGCAGTACATAGATACATGTATATAATTTATACAATCGATACAATTAGCATATACATTAAAGGCGCTAACTAATAGTTCTATGCCACGCGGCTAATATACATTGGTATCCCTATGTGTATATGTCTGCGTGTGTGCTTCAGATATATTGTGTTCTGTTTGTAGTGGGACCGTGCTTCCAACGGTATCATTTATAGTGCCACCTCACTTGAATGCTACAGCACAGATATCGCAACATCCACCCCACACCATTTTATACTACCTGTTGGAGTTGTGTGCAGAAGGATACGTACTGTCATTCTCAGGGTGTATGCAATGCTACTAATGTTCCAAAGGTATCGCCTCAAAAAGACAGATGCTGACAGAAAACGCATATATGCATTTAACAAAATTTAGATGATATCTACACCCATAGCTAAATATATATATAAATGTAGAATTGAAATGGTGTTTTACCAATATGTCAAAAATAAAATAAGATTTCGATGGAGGATATTTATGTACAAAAAATGTATGCAGTTAGCAGTTAATGTTTCGCAAAGCTGTCTAGCAAATATTTGTTTGACACTATGATAAAATCTGATGAAAATGATGCTGAAAACTTGATTGCGAAAAGTTGATATTTTCATGAAATGGATTTTTTGAGAACTATCTTTATGTTTAGCTAGTGAATTGTGTACTTAAGTTTCCAGTCTTTTGAAAGATAACCAGAAAGACAGGACACCAAATGAAGATTAATTTTTTTATATAAATAATATGTTTTCAAAATTTGAATTATTACATTGTTAAGCTAACTATGCGTTTAAGATTTGTGCTGACTGATTTATGTTTCATATTGGAAAACTGATTGGATATATCACTTAGTAAATTAGATTTTATCTCTTTTGATGAAACCTACACCAAAGTCACTAATGTGTCTAACAAAGGTGAATGAATTATATCAATCGAACATTGAAAATGGAACTCAGGCCAAAGGCTAATTATCTGACTTTATTCTGAAAATAACCACTGTTACCTTTTTTCCTCTATGTAAATCATGGCCCATGACTCATTTGTATTACTGAAATGGCAGGTAGTGAGCGTTGCTGATATGTCTTCCTGTGCAAGATCATTTGTATGGTGGCATATTTCTGCCATCCACTTGCGACTTACGAGTTACGTATGTCGACATAATTATTGAAAGATGTCGACATAATCTGAGAATATGTCGACATAATCTGAGAAGATGTCGACATAACTTTTAAATTATGTCGACATATTATCACATTTGCCGAGATAATTATCTCGTAAGTGGGTAACTCGGCTTTTTATCGTGTTAATGCTCGGGTGTGACATCGACTTACGACTTGCCACTTACGACTTATTTATGTAAAATCCCTCTTTGATTGATAAACTCTGTACATCATAGTAACCTACTGTAATATCCATATCTTTGATTTCCCATATTTACATTGATTTTACCAAGTTACTCACCAGTATAGTCACCACTGTTCAGTCACCATCAGCCCACCTTCGCGGTCCTCGTGCACAAGCCTCGTTTTGGTAAGTCGGCAATAATCTACTAGGATGTCGACATAAATAAGTCGTAAGTGGCAAGTCGTAAGTGGCAAGTCGATGTCACACCCGAGCATTAACACGATAAAAAGCCGAGTTACCCACTTACGAGATAATTATCTCGGCAAAATTATCTCGGCAAATGTGATAATATGTCGACATAATTTAACAGTTATGTCGACATCTTCTCAGATTATGTCGACATATTCTCAGATTATGTCGACATCTTTCAATAATTATGTCGACATACGTAACCCGTAAGTCGCAAGTGGATGGCAGAAATATGCCACCATACATTTGCTTCTGACGTAGACAATATCTATTGTATTACAATACCCAATGAGGAAAGTTAATTGACATTATCGCTAGAATAGGAAGTAAGAACGCACCTGTCTGCGTCAAAGCAAGTCTTGACAGACAGCCAGACAAAGCAAACATTTTTAATACACCATATGACCATGTCGTCTATTTAGGTTAATGATTGTACTTGAGGTAGAAAATGAAAATCCATTAATAATAAAATAATTTTTGAAATAAGCAAAATAAAAGGGTCGGAGCGCTTATAAAACCCCAATCGGGAACCGTCGGCACCTTCCGTAAACAAGAAAATACTAAAAAAAAGCATTTTCTCGTTTACGGAAAGCGCCGACGGTTCCCGATTGATAAAACCCTATATAGCGTTTCCAATCTATAACTTTTGCTAAGGAAGGTTATATATTCTTAAAATCAGTATTTCAGGTAAACTTTATCAGAATAATTTCCAGCTACAAGGTAACGGTAAACCTCCGAGATTGATAAGACTTCCAGCAGAGTCAACCATAAACACCGTTTTAAAGATTCGTAAGTAATCGCAGAAAAACCAAATACAGTTAAAAAAAAACCGGCACCAAATGACTTTTTCGAAAATATGTATACTGCCGTCTTTATTTTTCTAAAAGTCTCTATAGGCCAGATTTCCTGCCGGTGAGACTTTATAATAAAATTAACATGAGAAAAATTCAAAGGGAGGTAATCAAAACGTCGATGAGACGTCCCTACACCGTAAAAAGAAATATGCTTTTAAAAGTAACGTTAAATGCTTTCCATTACAACACGTTTTAACAATTTCTGATAACATGTTCTGGTTGGGGTATTTTCCAAAGTGTCCAAGCTGACAGTGCAAGTTAAAACGCTTTCAATTGAGACTAAAAAAAATATGTTTTCTGGTTTAGAGATCCTACCCATTTCTTCCTTCTATCGTTTCTAAGGAAGTGCCGACATTTTAGTTTGTCCTTGCTTGGTAACGAGTATGGGTCTCGTTGGGTATAAAAAGCGCATTACCCGTCAAACCGGCTATCATTTATTTATTTATTTATTTATTTATTTTTTTATCAGATTCAGATTCTTTATTAGCCGAGAGCTATACGACTCATAGGCGCAACAATACTACAAGTACATATATAATAAAAGTATACAGGTCTTAAACACGCACGAACGCGTTTCTGTAGTAAAATTCTTTCATATATCTTTCCCTTAACTCTTTATGAAATTAACACTTCAATATGAAATGAAATTCATCCTCTAAATCAACGTCATTACATAAGTTACACAATCTATCTTCTCTACAAATATTTCTACGACGTCCAATTTCTATATTAAGATTATGCGCAGACAATCTAAACCTCGTAATCATACGTTTATATTTTTTCTTCAATAGGCTTACATAAATAATATTGTATACCAAAATTATCAGTAAGATGTTGTTACAAAAATTGGATGAGTTTTTAAGGGCTATGTTAGCATAAAATGTCCGCCATGTTGAAACACAATGACAGACCCTTCAAAAATCACCAAAACGTCGTTTAAGTTAATTACTTATAAGTTTTTTGTTTAATAAAAGGATATTGTATAACTCTTATGAAATATTTGACACAAAAAATATTTTTTGAACTTTGTAAATCGAAATCCTCTTCGCTACACTTTGCACGCACCTACATCATTATACATTGGGCAAACATTTGCTACAAGGTTAACAAAATTATCTGTTGATACTGTTTTAGGCACGATTATCCTTAAATTATGCTCTTCGTTTTGAGAATTAAACAAATCAGCAACGGGTAACTGTTGGTGATTAGCATTTAGCCTTGTCGATGTACCATGTTACATAATTTTGAATTTCATTTTCTAGTACATTCGATTTCATAAAAGACGCAAAAGTTCGCTTTTATACTGAGTATTTAGATGTTTACACAATCCTATAAAACAATGTTAAGGCACTGATCGCTCGACAAAAGGTATTAAATTGTTGTTAAACTTCTCTTGGAGTCGTTCGACTGGGCGCATCCATCTTGGGTCTTTTCACTGTAGTTATATCACTACGCCTGATGGAAGACAGCGTAAAAAACGTACAGAATGCACTACCTTGTCGTATGTTTACAAATTATACATTTCTTAATATATTTTATCATCATATGCTATAATACAAATGTTTCAGCTCCAGAAACACAATATGACAATATCGAGATTGGTTGTGATTGTATTTCCGGTTTGTTTTCACTTTGTAAACAAGTGGTAAATTCAGATGCTGAAGCAGATCGCAACATCCG